GAGGATCCCCCAAGGCTGAGGCCTTTGATGGTGTGCGCCATCTAAACACGAAACGCAGCATATACATGAGCACACGGACACACTACTACGATACATCACACCCATACATAAACGCGAAAATTTCATACTAACTATACTCTTATTTTAAACCTCTAATCCCAATTTAGAGGGTTTCACAGTAATTCTACATGTCATCGAATCCTAGGAAACTCAGTTTCATGTGAGTACAAGTTGTAGAACTTTTATACGAAGCACAAGTATGACGGAGTGACAGTTCGCGTCTACAAGGTTATGTGTGATCGATTATATGAATTTTGTAGTTTTTACTCATTTTTGGTATAAAATCGGAGTTTCCTGGGATCATTAATGCATACACTGTAATTGTACGCAAGCATTTTTGATTCCATGAATTTAATACGACGAAAGGTTATAACTACGAAAATGGTAATTCTGTCGGTAATACAGACATACTACGGGATCCTCTTAAACAGTTGGAACGTACAAATATCTCTGGAGACGTACAATGTCTCGAGAGTATTGAAAATGACGACATCCATAGGATATCGTGTGCTGTCTGGGATGGATTTGAAATAGCCGCGTCATGGAGCCAAAATGGCGGACGATTGCGGTACTTTATATATCTAGTGACTTTAGGCTAGGGTAATCGCATCGTTGCGAGTGCGAGCCAAATGTCGAGCATGGCTGAAACTGAAACGTCCCTCGAGATACCAACCTCGTACACTCCGTGGCTCGTGCGTGTATTTGCGATTACATATGTAGACTCGTGGTAAAATTTGGCGGCGAGTTTTTCTCGGCTCTGCGCGTTTCGTTTAAAAAAAAAAAGTCCAGGAGACGCACAAGACGCACGTTTATCCCACGTTACATTGCCGAGCGCGAGCAAGCGCGAGGTAAGTGCTCTCGAGATACGTCTGCTCTGCGCGGAGAGCTTATGTCACTCGGGTCCCGATTCTTGTGCAGCTTTGCCCTCCCGGAGTGAGGCACCTCGGCCGACCGCGAACGTTTTCTCATCTCTCTCCGAGGTGTCCGATGTGAATTCGACCCACCAGGATGGCGGGGGTGTTCGACATCGAGCTGCACGACGGGGATGCCGCGAACCAGGACGAGTCGGATGACGACGTGATCGAGAATAGAGAGGTAGAGTGCAGATCTTCGCTTGATTCTCGAATCACTCGCGTGGGAAACGTATGCAAAAATTCTGCTCTTGCAAGAAAGCTGCGAGTTGATTGGCCAAAAATCGTGCGAATAGTCAATCACCCTGCAAGAGCAAATATTTTTCGCATATGCTTCTTTTGCGAATGATTCGAGAATCGATCCCAGGAGCTCGATTTTTGAATTCATTCGAGAGAGAAACGTGCGAAAATTTTGCTCTTACAAGAAAGTTGCGAACTGCTTGGCTAAAAGTTGTAGCCAATTACCCTAAAACTTTTCTACAAGAGCAAATTTTTTCGCATGCGTTTCTTTTGTGAATGATTCAAGAATCTAACCCTAGATCCCCGACGATGACACACGAGTTGCTCTCCCACCGGTGCAACAAGATTTTAACTAAATCTCGTGTTCGCAGGAGGAATACAATCACGCCGCGACCGTGAGCGCAATACTAGAGTAAGCACTTTGGGTTACCTCGGAGAAATCTCTCCATTTTTGTTCGTCAAGCGTTAGAGCGCAGAAATGTCTTTTTTTCTTTTAGATCCGAGAACCTGGAGAGAGTCCAGCTGTCCGAGCAGAATGTTAATCCAGGTCAGGAGAAGGCTGGTCCGCAGGACTTCGAGTTGTGCAAGATTTTGGGCGAGGGTGGCTACGGAAAGGTCTTCCAAGTCAGAAAGGTCACTGGAAAGGACAAGGGCAGTATCTTCGCCATGAAAGTGCTTCGCAAGGCGTCCATCATACGGAACCAGAAGGATACCGCTCATACCAAGGCCGAGAGGAATATCCTGGAGGCAGTGAAACATCCGTTTATCGTGAACCTCATGTACGCGTTCCAAACTGGCGGCAAGCTGTATCTGATCTTGGAGTATCTGTGCGGCGGGGAGCTCTTCACGTACCTCGATCGAGAGGGCATCTTCCTGGAAGATACGGCCTGCTTTTACCTATCGGAGATCATACTGGCGTTGCAGCACCTTCACAATCAGGGGATTATATATAGAGACTTGAAGCCGGAAAATATCCTGCTGGACGCCGAGGGTCACGTCAAGCTGACGGACTTTGGTCTCTGCAAGGAGCACATACAGGAGGGCACGGTGACACATACGTTCTGCGGAACGATAGAGTACATGGCGCCGGAGATTCTGACCAGGAGCGGTCACGGTAAAGCTGTGGATTGGTGGAGCTTGGGCGCTTTGATGTTCGACATGCTTACAGGAATGCCGCCGTTCACCGGTGACGACAGGAGGAAAACCATCGAGAAGATCCTGCGGGGCAAGCTGAGTCTTCCGCAATACCTGACGCCGGATGCCCGGGACCTCATCCGAAAGCTGCTGAAGAGGCAGGTCGTTCAGAGACTGGGCTCCGGCCCAGAGGACGCCGAGCAGATCAAGAACCACAATTTCTTCAAGCACATCAATTGGCAGGACGTGATCGCCCGGAAGCTGGATCCGCCGTTCAAGCCGTCCTTGAAGAGCGCCGACGACACGTCGCAGTTCGACGAGCAATTCACAGCGACCGTGCCGGTAGACTCGCCGGTCGAGAGTACCCTCAGTGAATCTGCGAACATGATATTTCAGGGTTTCACCTATGTGGCGCCGAGCGTTCTGGAGGAGATGTACGCGCAGCCGAGAGTCGTTAACGCCAGAAGCCCGCGCAGAGGACTGTTGAACAACACGGGTTTCGGCGCGGCAGCGAGCCTACACGGCTTCTCCTCGCCCAGAACGATGGACGTGCACCTGCGCCCGTCATTAGACCTCCAACAGCAACATAGGCAACACATGATGGGACCCAACAGCGTGGAGGACACCGAAATGGTCGACCTTGGCCAGTTACCAAACCGCTTATAGTGCCGCGACCCGTTGCACACGGACTATTAGCTTTTCGATACAAACTAGAAAACGAAAGGAACATAGCCCAATAAACCTGCTTGTTTCGCCGAATCGTTTCTTCGCATTCGTGCGCGACGACAAGCAGATATATTTAGCAAATTCAATATTACGTATAGCAAGAAGTAAGCACAGTGAGTTTGGTCAGCCTCCTTGACGTTGCGGTATTGCCTGCACATCCGTAACGCAACTTTTTTTTTAGAGCTCTAGCGATTTCAAGACGGCCAAACATTCGTTTGCAATGCGAGGGAGCGAATAGTGTATGTCTTTTCGCCATGTAAATACGTGTGGATAATTGAAAGCAAGTACATTCTTAACGAAATATTTAACGAGCAGAATGCAGTTCAAATCTAAAGATATCGCACTAGTAACACAGATATCGCAATCATATCGCTGATTGTAATGTAGTTGACTAGCGTTAGGCTGCTTCTAACAGTACACATTGATTCATACAAGGTGACGAATGCTTTAGAGAGACGTCTAAAGTCGAGAGAGAATGCCACGAAGAAAAATACTTTTCCTTCCTTTTTTTCTCGTTTCAAAATCTTCGCACGATCGAGTATTTTTGCTTCCGGGCCGCAATTTTTCCTGCAATAGTTTTTCGTTTCCGGTGCTTTGGAAAATTGCGACTGGTTCATTTCTAGTAAGTACCTTATCTCGGGCGGGTTGGAATAAATTTCTTTTTTGTTTGCCACGAAACTGATATCGAAACACATGGGAGACACGCTCTATCTCTAACACTTCATCATAAAAATTCTACATTCCGGTATCTTGAATTCGCACTTATATGAGATAGAACGTCGGGAATTAGATGCAAGTAAAAATGAGCAGGTTCACGATTGTTTTATTCTGTTGTTAGTATTAAACATTGGTTTTCTCTATTGAATATATAATTTATTTAACTACATTAGAAGTCTGTCCCGATAGAGTCGGAAGGGAAAACAGAAACTCTCCATTGTTCCATATACATAAGAATAAGGTCCTAGTGATTCTATTTAGCGCAACGGCATGTTGCATTTTAAGAAATGGCATTTCTCCGATAGAGTTAATTACGATTGCTATTTAGTATAAAAAAGATTTTGGAATGTTTCAATCATATTATGAATGTATTCTCCTTTTAACTATATATATGTATGTATGTGTATATTTATATACACGCATGTACGTATAACATACGTATGAGACACGAGTCTTGTTGCTAATTATAATCAAATAATGGATTAATTGTACATATAGCTGCCAATCCGATTACTTCCCAAAATTCTAGCATTGTATCACATTGAAAGTGTAATCCGTTCGCAAGAGGAATAATCACGCAGATTTCAAAGTGCCCAAGTGTTCAAAGCCATCTAACGTGGCTAGTATTACGTATACAATACATTCGTACATTATATATATACATATAGATATATATACACATGTATATATATTTAAAATATATATGCAAGAACCGGATTGTTACTAGCCGTGTTAGAAATGAAATAGAGTGAGAGAAACTTGTACCAACTGTGACGCATTTGAAGAATGCGTGCCGTACAAAAAAAATAAAATCTGAATAACATTTGTAATAAATACGTACATTGCCAATGGTCCCATGTATCATCTTTGCGAAAGATATATACATTGCATTAAATATATATATATTAAATATGTACACTCGTGCATGTGTGTATTTTTGTATGTACATATGTACAATCTTGTATGTACATATATACACACATACACACACACGCGCGACTATAAAAATACCAATAATATATTAACGCGCTTCATTGATTTGTAAAGTGCATGCTATTATAATAAAACTTATATACGGCAAATTAATGTTTGTATTACAAATTGTTATTAGAAATGTTTCATTGTCATTGAATAAATTACTGTATATATATCGTTGATTTATATCCGCGATAATTTTCGCGTCTTGAAAAGGTATGATGTAAGATTAAATTGCAAAATGCAATCTTTTCAGCAATAAGCGGTTCTTTTTATTATTAATAATTTTATAAGTGATACATCCATATTTTACAAGTGTCCTCGAAGTTATTATTTAACGGTGCTTCTGCATTTTACCATGTCTCGAATCGTCCTTATCTTTAACTTTTCTTTTTCTATTATAACGATCCTTATCTTTAGCATCGCCATTCGTCTCCTTACAAGTGTACTTGTGCTTGTCACAATTCTGTCTTCTTTTATGCTTGTAAGTCTTATGAACAAGTTTCTCTTTAGAGTCGACTTTTTTCCTCTTCTTTCTAGTTTTCTTGGAATGAGAATCTTTCGAGTCAATGCTGCTGCTACTGGAGCTACTATCACTATCGCTACTGCTGGTATCACTGCTGTTGCTGCTAGATTTTCTGCTCCTCTTCTTTTTCAATTTTCTCTTTTCCTTTTTATGATTTTTCCTTTCTAGTAACTGTAATTTCCTGTAAATATAGGAGCAATCGTCAAACCTCTCGTATCCTTTATCAATAGCAAGAGAACACATATTATGAAGCTAAATTAACTTACAATAATAATCTTTTCTTCTCCTTTTTTGTTAAAGACTTTATAAATGACAGTTCGGACTGCTCCTCGTCTTCCGAGACAATTAGATGCTCGTGTCCCGGAACTCGTAAATGTTGTTGTGCATCCAACGCAGATCTACGATACAAAAACAGGCTAAAGTTCACTTACATCAAGATTAATTTATTTCTTAGTTGACATTAATCACTTAATTAAAAACGTATGTAAACCTACTATAAAATACGCACATACGTACACACATGTATACAGTGGTGGGCGGAATGGTTGCAATCTTTTTTTTTTTTAAATAAGTTTAGGAACGTGCATTCAGGTTTACGTTCCAAAACCTCTTTTCTGAGGAAAAGTTTACTCTAGAGATAGACCGGAAACATTTAAAATGGTTTTGGAATGGCCATCGAGTACAATTATCCCTCGAAGGAGATTTTGAAGCCTGAAAAAGTGTTGCAACCATTCTGTGACATGAAGGTAACATGTATACCCACTTTTTCAGGGCCAAGCCATCTTCTCGCATCTGCTGCACGAGCGTCATAGTGTCCGGGGCTGGTGGCATCTGCGAATTATTATTCGCCATCACGACGCTCATCGCTTGACTGTACAAAGGACATTCCTTATCTAAAAACATTATTAATTAATATTACAAATTAATATTTACATACATTTAATATGTACTACCTTACAACATTAATCTTTTGGGCTACCTGTGTTTATGTGCCCCCATTTGTGACACTTGATACACCGTACGTTCCTCACTTGTATGCCGAAAGGCTGATCTCGAATCTCGCTGTCCCCCTTACAGTAGCTCTCCCTTGGGGCGTTGTACTTGCGCTGCCACTCAAACTTGTACTCAGGCTCGTTGTCTTCCTTCTCCCGTTCTTTCTTCGCCCCAGGGGGCGGTTCGTACATGAAGTTGACGCTGAGCTTATCCTTGCTCTCTTTGCTGAGCAACGCCCTGGGGAGAAACTTTGCGTTAGGAAACGAAACGCAGCTCGTTACGTTCGAAAGCTTAAAGCTACTTGCTTGTTATTGTGAAGGTCCTGCTCCTTCTCGTACTGCACTCGCAGTTCCTCCTGCTTCTTCTTGTAAGCCTCCGCTTGCTGCTCCGCCATCCATACCTGATGCAGAAACGCGCGTTTGAATGATGGAAGTGTACAAGTTTACGGGATACGCGACGAGAGAATCAAAATTAAGTCCGTTGTCGTAAGAGAGAGAGAGAGGTTAGGTCACACATTCATACCCGCTTCAGATTATCCCGCGACGCTGGATGGAAGAACTTTTTGCACATGTAATTGTTAAATCCCTTCCCCATCTTGACGAACTCGTCCTCGCAATCTCAGAGCAGTCTCAATTTTACAAAAATAATCGCGACGCGAGAATCGTACATACAACGTAATTATGCGCCGTTCGTCACCGTCGGTCATCGGCTATCGCGGATTTTTCTTTCCTTGGGTTGCGAGCGCCGTTCACGCATTATTTTAAAAGGCAATGAGCAACATGGCGCAACGGCCAATCGCATTCGTTTCCGCATTTTTTCGACTTGCATCACATGTGGTTCACGCGATCCAAGAAACGCGTTCAAGTTCTAGTTCCGAGAAATGCGTAACCAATCAACTTGCCTCTTTTTTTTTCGGAACTAGAACAACACATTTCTAAACTAGAATTGGAACGCGCAGTACTTGGATCGTGGACACAAGGCTTAATGTTAAGGCCTTCACACATAAAATTCCGTAAGGACGTAAAACGTAAGCATAAGAAAATCGACCAATCACAGTCGAGAACGTAAGGCAATGACGCAAGCAGTAGCAAATCCAACCTGTTGATTTTCTTACACTTACGTTTTACGTCCTTACGGAATTTTATGTGTGAAGGCCTTTACGAAGTATTCTTCTTCTCTTTTCTTTCAGTAAAGATAGAAAGAGAAGAACGCGCCGAAGCGTTTGCAGCGGCAGTTTGACCATAGTAGGAAATATCTGGACGGAGCGTAAAGTACTTTTAACGGGTGCATCCAAAAGCACGACCGCTCACTGAGCG